GGGCCAGGCAGGGCGGCAGCGCCCGCGCCCGGAGCCCCGGGGAGCAGAAGCAGCCCGCTGGTATCCCCGACCCGGCAGTAGTGGTGGTGGTGTTAAGAACCCTCAGACCCACGGAAAACGCACGTCAAACCCGTCGGTGTTACAGCCACTTAAGTCGTAAAGAGCGGGTTTTTTCCTGTTTTCCTTCCAGTGCTCCACTGCTTCCACAGACGGACAACTCGGGTGCACCATGGCACATGTCTCCCTGTGAAGTTAAGGCGGCTGAAATGTCTCTCCTGTCACTGGGTGGCCAAGGACTAACATTACGAGGATTAAAGCACAGAGGCTCTAAATGGTTAAGTTTCCAATGCGCAGCCCTCGGGGCGAGCCAGACTCCAGTAAGCACGTGGTCTCCACAGGGCGCTTGGATGCTATGTTTGGGTGGGAAAATGTTACTAGAATAGACGTATACTTGTTTAAGCAGCCGCGTGATGTGAACTGCTGGCATTTCTGTTGCTGCTAGAAGGAAAATTTAAAGCATGCCTCTCTGATTATTTACGCTTTCTAAAAATACCCTATATGATCAGTGCATGCCCTGACAATGCCTGATTGAATTGAACTCCCCTCACACGCTTGACAGGAGGTCACACTTCTTGCAGGTCATGATGCTCCTCATCTTGTTTCCAGGCTGTCTCCAACATAGTTGCTGGCCTCACTATAATTAACCACTGCAGTATGACCACGCAGCAGGACACTTTACAACAAGGAAGCCAAGGTTTTAAGAGTGTGCTGCCAGTCTCCAAAGTGTGCACAGTCAGAGTGCTGGTCCAGCCTTTGCAGATGCTGGTCTGTGGCCCCTGCCATGCCACTCATTTTAAAAGGTGGTGGTAGCTGTAGTTACAGACAAACCTTGCAGATGACAGTTAAGCTGCTGGAGACACCTCCTGAAGCTACATAATAAGGGAAACATGTTGGGAATGTTTTGGGTTGGGTTTTCTTCCAGATACTCACCCTATTTAGCCAGTCAGTTAAGTCTAGGGCAGTTCCAGGCAGTTCCAGATATAAATTACAGGGGCTTAGTGAACTGAAAAACAAAGTAACGGCACAGCTTGTATTCTTCCAGGTCAAAGCACCAGCGAGAACTTTTACAGAACTTGATTTCTGAAAAACAGTTCTACCTAAATTTCATATAGATATGTAAATTCCTTCAGTCACATTTCCTTTCATGAAAAAAATAAGCATTAAAAAACTTGTCTAAAAGAAGTTTATTCTCTTCAGTTCAATAAATATCTTCCTTTAAACCAATAGTGTGCATTCTCAGACTTATCAGTGTTAACTCGATTACATGTTACATACCCAGCAAGCACCTATTTTGCACTGCTCTGGACTCCAGTTTGGGATTCCAACAGCATTTCTCCTTGCATACTGGAAGAGAGCTAACTGCATGCAGTGGGTATAGTGCATGAGTATTAATTCATCCTTGGAATATCTATTATACAAAGCTGGTAATTCTGATTATTTAAATTACAGATTCTGATCTAGGAAATTGGAGAAATATAACTTTTCCTTATCAGGTGCTATGGATTATCTAAACCCACAATTAGTCCAAAAAAAAAAAAAGTGTGAAGTCCACATGCTTTGGACTACAAGCCTCTGCTTTTGGCTTAGAACAGCTTCAAACATAACAAGTAGATAAAACAATTTGTTCTGGAGTAGTTTATAAACAGTAGTGGATCACCTACTTTGTCTTAATTTTTAAGATGTCTTAAAGCTATTCACACAATAAGGACTGCAACTAAGCAGCCAACATGAAACTAGTCTCTAAAATGATCAAGAATATTTTTAATACAATCTTATTTTGTTCACTGAAGTAAATCACCTAACTGGTAGCATGCAAGTCAAACACTTCAATAGCACTTACAAATGAGTAGTGGGAGAGCTTTGAGCCCTTGGTGCCAAAAACAAGTCAGCAGGTAGGCATTCTGGAGCTACCACAGGTTAATCATTATGTACACCATATAAAACCAGCTTACTTATACTACTACTAAGCATAATAAGATGTCAAAGTCAGCACTCCAATACAGTGAACTAATATTTCCCAGAGAAACCATTAAAGAGTTAGCAGATAGGCAGGCTATTTTTATGTTTGGTTTACTTGTACAGGGGGAGGAACTAGAACTATGAGAGGAATGACTTTGTTTTTAGACAAATTTCTTAAAATGTCCATATTTTAGCTAATTAAAAGTTAGCAATTTGTGTTTCTTTCTGATCCATTTGAATTTCACAAGAAAGTTCAGTTACAGAGGCATGAAAATCATACGTGGAACTACACAAAAGGGAAAGCTCATTAAACTATACAGCAACTGGAACATATACAGAACATCTAAACTAATCTCCAACATGTTAATAAGTCCCAGTTCTGAAACAAGAGGTTGGTGTTTAAGTAATTTTGAGTATTACTCAAAATACTAAAGTTTTTTTTTTTAATTAATCATTTAAGAGCTGTTGAAACACATCTTTGGATAAAGTGGGATGAACCTGATTCCCTTGATATGGGATGGAAAGGCAAAGAAAATTGAAAGATTATTTCGTAGCATGTACATGTTCCTGCAAGAATGGAGTACTACAGGGAAAACAAATAAAAGAAGGATATAAAACTTATGATACAGACCTAAAGGCATTAGATAATTATATTCCAACTAAGACCATAAAAAGAATTACAAGCTTCTGTGGAATATGTTTAACAATTTTAAGATCAACTCACAGCGTTGACAGGAAATATTTTTAACTAGGGGAAGATAAAAGAGCTGTCACCTGCATCACCAATGATTATACTAGTAAGCAATGTGAACTTAAATATTCAACTTATTAACAAGGTTCCACTGAAAGGAAGGTCATTACAAAAAAAAAATGGATATTTACAGGTCTAGTGAAAACTATACATGTTAAAAATTTGCAGGAATTTGGCATAAGAAAGTTCATATATAAATACCAAAGGGAAAATTAAATTGGAAAATAAATTTAAAAAAACAAAAAATCCATCTTCTAGACAGTTATGGAAATACAAAACAAATGTAAGAACCACAGAGCCTAGATTTTTGAAGGAAACAACCTGTGGAGCTGTTGAGGAATCCCTTTGCCAACTAACTCTGGTAACATTTTCTCTTCACAGTCCTGATATTAAGATCAAAGGGGCTACCAAAGTTATGAAAGGATCCTGAAGCTACATAATACGGAAGAACCAACAACGCTTTGGCAAGAGCAGTTCTTTATCCCTGAAGGACCTCTTGAGCAGAGAATAGAAAGTCAAATATTTTTGTTAAAATAAATGTCATAGCAGAATATAGACACTCAACTAATTAAGAAATTTTTTTAAAAACTAATTGGATGAGGAGGTCCATATTGTGAAAAACAATCTGGGAGGATTTTTTTTTTGTCTCATACTAGTCCAGTTTCCATGATAGCAGTCTCAAATTTTAGGTAGGATGCCCTACTTTCATGTATAGACAATATAGAATTTTCTATATCATGTCAGACTATCATACCATTATTACAAGCTAAGATAAGCAACTATGTAGAACTTCTCAGAAGCCACTGAACATTTTATTCTTGGTCAAAATAGGAGAATTAAAAATTTCTGCAGCAAATTATTCACTTATCAACCTTGACAGCACTGAGGAATACACACTGAAATATCAGCAGTTAAATCTATAATTAGTTACTTCAGTTTGGTAGTCTTAAAAATACAGAACTTCTTTCTGACCACTGCAAATACTGCACCTCAATTCAAACCCACAGTACTTACAAGGTGTAATTATACTGTACTTATAGTATCATTTTTGTTTAATGAGAACCACAAAGTCTGTTACTCAGCATGATCCCTGGCACTTCTATTCACGTTCTTATATTGCATATTTAGTAACTGTCATCAATACTGTCTAAATCAGTTAAGTGTAATAACCTTCAACAATGACAGTCAGTATGTCTACTAGTTCTGGAGAAAGGATAAGTGACTTATCATTCCTTTACAGCAGGAATGAGGCAAAAAACAAATGGCTACAGAGCAGATATTTGCAATCAGCTACACAAGTTCCATATGTTTGTGTATTGACACTTACACAGGTTGTTTTGAATTCTTACTCAGAAAACGCTACTGATCTAACTTTTGTCAGGAATTTTTGCTGCAAGAATGCAACAGAAGAGGAAAGGTTTTTTTTTCCTGCTCTGGCCAAGCTGAAAGAATGAGGTTATTTTACATGCCATACCAATAGTGTTGTAAAAGAGTAAAGGTAAACATAACAAAAGAAACAGAAAAAGAAACAATAACCTAAACAGGAATTCTGAGAAGCTGTCACACTGCAAGTCAGTTCATGTTTAGTAGCACTACTGTAACAGGCTTTTCTGGATTCTGCAATGCAACATTACATTAATAAGCTGCAAAGGGTACTTTCAAACAAACCTCATCAGCAACAGAATGTACTTTAAACTCAGAACCTACCAGGCCTACTGGTGAAGAAATCTTCTTCCTTGTGTTTGATACACAACTTACAAAACCAAATACTTAAGAGCCTTAAGATGATAATGCAGAACTTTGTTTACAGATGGCATACACAGCAAACAGATCACACACACACACATACCTCCCTGCGGCTACTGCTGTACAGTAAGACTACAGGACAGCTGTCAGAGTTGGAAATTAAGAAATGCAACACCTGCCTGGCCTGCAAGTTTCGCCTCTAACTCTGGTTTCCTCTTTGAAACTTGGACTTTGCCATCCATTTCATGGGTGTGAAGCTTAATTGGCAAGCACCATTTCTTAGCTACAAGACT